TAATTAATTAGATTATTATAGCTAACTAATTAGATAACTCTCTATAGCTAGCTTAAGAAAAAGCTACTATGTTAGGCTCTACCTAGAAAATAGAAGACGGCTTATTAACCTATTAGAATTAATTAATAGTTTCTACTATTAACTATCTATAAACGTATTTAATACGCGCCGTGTATACTACTTAGGTAACTACCTATCTAGAGCGCTAGAAAACTACCTAGTTACTATAAGATTAATATTACTAGCTAGGTATATAAAAAGACGTTAATACGTATATAGTAGTATATAAGGCTTACTACTAGAGCTATACTCTATAGAATAAGACGCTAGGTTTTCTAAAGCCTCTACCTATCTCTAAGAAAGTATAGTAGAACGTCTCTATAGATTTTAAAAGCTTCCTCTCTAATAAGAAAGAATTTAACTACGTGTACGTTATTATAGATTAGCTAAGTAAGTAAAGCTTCTCTCTACTTTACTATAAGAAAATTATAGCTTAACGTATAGTAGAGCTATATTACTAATATATCTAGCGTATATATAGTTCTTCTAGGTCTATTATATTAGATTATAGCCTATAGTTTACCTCTACTTTTATAGATAAGCTCTATTAGCTTATAGAAATTAAGTAGAAGCTCTCTACTACGTACTACTCGCAAGCTAATAGAAATATAGAGATTATTAATTAATATCTTAATTAGTGTCTACGTCTATTTGTTAACTACTACTAGAATAATTAGTTAGACCTTCTACTCTATATAGATTAGGTATAAGCTACGTTACTATATAAAACTATAGAACTAATAGTATATAAAATTAAGTTTAAATATTAGCTAGTATACTACTAGAATTAGAAGAAGTATATAGTAAAAGCCTCTACTCTACGTAAGTATCTCTTACGCTAGAAAGCTTAGAATTTTACTAAGAAGTAATATAACACTATAAAAAAAGCTACTAAAATTATATAAGATAATATTACAAAAGCGTAAGCTAGGTAGGCGCTCTAAGTAAATAAAAAACGCTAAGAATCTAATTTTGCTATAGGTAATCTTATCTATATTAAACCTTATAGCTTTTTAATAGATTAGTCTAGTATAAAGCTAGATTAATAGATATATAGCTCTTACCTAATTATTACTATAAAAGGTTACTTTTTCTAGCTCTAGCTACCTGCGTATATACGTATATATAACGTCTTTTATACTAATTAGTTATAAAAAGCCTTAGAGCTATTACTAGAGTAGGTAGAGCCTAAGTAGCTACCTATTAAAGTTAATAGTAATCTAGAATAGTCTATATATAAAATTCTAGATAGCTATCTTTATTAAAATTACCTTTAATACCGCGCTATATAGATTACTTATAATTCTAACTCTACCTAGTATAATACTATAGGCTTTATTAACGCTTTCTATAAGGTAAGAGACTTTTACGTAGTATACCTAGATAAGCTAGAGCCGCTATTATAATTAGATGCTTAGATTAAAGCGTATAAAAAAGAGAAGACTCTAGAGAAGATAGTAGAGAATTTAAAACCTATAAGAGTAGAAGACGTAAGAGTAACGTAAAGGCGCCGCTAAGTAATTTAGAACTCTACTAAGCTTATAGCATCGTTTAAGAAGAGAGCTAGTAAGAAAGCCGCTCTACTAACGCGAAAACAAGCCTTTTTCTTTCTAGAGAGAAGGTAGTAGCTATAAAAGCGCTTCTAGTTTAAAACTAATATAAATATACTTACTATAAGCTAAAAGAAATAGTTAAGAGTATAACGCAAGAGTTTTAGAAGAAGAAAGACCTAGAAGGCGTATTTTAGAGCTTAGAGACAAGCTTTCTCTATAAGAGAGGGTAATATAATAGTCTAGTTTAGAGATTTACCTAGAGTTATATAACCTTAGGTTACGTAATTTTATTACGTAACCTAGTCTAGCGTCTTAGCGCTTAGTACCTCTGTATATAGAGCCTTTTAGAGTATTCTTCTACTTCTTACCTTTAGATAGCTAAATTTAACCTAACCTACTCTACTTATCGCTCTTATTCTTATAGCTTGTAGAGACTATATTACTCGTAATTAACTTACCTAGCTAGGTATTCTAGAGCGCACGTATAGTAGTAGAGACTGCAGAGCTAGCTCTTATATTGCTAAGAAATTGTAGGTTATTTAATAGAGTAACTAGTTCGATAGTAAAGTATGTTAAGAGCGTTAGTAAAAGAAATCTACCTTTAAGAGTAGAGCGCGAAGGCTACTAAACGTAAGAAGGTAAAGTATACTTTATAAGTAGAGTAACAACTTAAAAGAAATCTTAAGAAGTCTAAAAAGAGTAAGAAGAAAGCCTTAAAGGCTTCTCTACAAGTTACTTAGAAAGTTAAGGTTAATTTTTAATTAATAGTTAATGTAGCTCTAATAGCGGCTAGGTTCTCGCGTACAAGAAAAATTAAGCTTCTAGAGCGCTATTTAAACTAGTTATTACTCTTAATAGAGTCTCTAAGCTTCTACAACTACTCTACTAAAAAATCTAGCGATTTTACGATATATATAAGGCTCTACAGCTTTAAAAGTTGTAGGTGGTGGCATCCGAAAATCGGGTGTCACGCGGGCCCGGGCGTTACGCGAGGCAGCTCAGTAGTGGTGTAGGGCGTTCGGTGGTGAAGTACGTTAGTGTTTAGTTCTCTCGTGAATTTCCTACTAACGGCTAGATAGTTTAGCACAGATCGTTTCCTACGCTCCCTCGCACCTAGCGCAACCGCGAAGCAGAAGGGCTCTAACGCCAAAGTGAACCCAATGATGCCGTTGGCCAAGAATTGAATCCCTCGGTTCTTACAGGTGACTCAAGGCGAGCCCCTTGACAGAAAACCGCCATCGGCCCACTCTATCTGCCATAATAGCTGAGCGACAGCCTCCGGCGGAGCGACGGCAAAGTCCAGGCACGTAGTCAGCAAAGGACAGCGGCGGGTTAGCGAATTAAGGTTTTATTTGGGCCGAGCGAGAGGTGGAGGATCCATATCAAGCAGAGAACAACGGTTATGATTGGAGAGCGCTGGCTTCCGCCGACGGAGCTGAAGTTTGGCGAGACACTGTCAGCGTCGACGGGCCAGCAGGATGGCGCAGGGTGGAGTTGAGCTCCAGATAAGACTCAGGGATGTGCTCGCGCCGGCATGACCGACCTGGAGCCAGGTCATGTGGACCCAACCTGGACAGCATATATTGGGACAGGGTTGGACACGTCCGGTATATGGAAGCTGATTGAAGGTGATGAATTCATGCAGACGCAATCGACGGATAGCTATAGGATCGGATGATCTATTCTGAGTAGAAAGCAACGGTTGTGATTAGAGGCGTCGGCCTTTCACAAAAGGGTGGAGCTAAGCTACGGTGAGACAGTGCTGGCCTCAACGGGTCAGTAGTGCGGCGCAGAATTTCATGCGAACATGGCTCAGCGTTGGCGGTTGTGGCATCGGCGACAAATGCAACAACAGGATTGGACAGCTTTGCTCTCTAGTAGTTGATTGAGTGGGCGACTTCATGCGAGCGTGCCCGACGGAGCTACGGTACCCGACCGGATTGCTTAATAACGGCATTATTCAGACCCAGCAACGCCGTAGGATTCATACGAAATGGAGGACAACTAGGTGTTATTAGACGGTTCTGACCCTCACAAGTCAAGAGGATGGCGCTAAATCATGGTTTCAGTGGAGCACAAGCAGATTAGGCGGCCTTTACCGATTGACCGAACGAACCAAAGTCACGCAGGGACGGTATGGTGAGTGAAGGAGCCCGAATTGGAATGTGCGAGCCTCACATTCGCCTCACATTCGCCTTATCGAATAATTAATGTCGGACACGAAGTTGACGAGGTATGAACTCAGATTGGATAACGCTGCTTCCCCGGTGCTGTCACGCGAAGACTTGAACTGCTAAGGCAATCAGGATTGGAGGGAACACCGTTTCTCGCACGTAAAGGGATTCTTAATGTGGCAGTCAGAAGAACCCTAGGCAAGAGCATAGCGCGTGAAACTGCTTTGGGAATCCAAATGGATCCAGTGCTCTGAGGAAATACAGCCATAACTGCTTGAGGAACCAGGGAATCGGATGATAGAATTTCCGTGGGCGTCAAAGTCAAGGTTGCCGGAGTTGGAATAGGATTAAGTTTTGGAGAGTCTAATACTAGTGGCTGGTCCGTCATTTGGGAATTTGCAAGTCCAATTATATGGCATTCAAGAGCATGGCCAGAACAACCCCCTGTGACACGGTCGCTGTTCGCGGGTTGCCGACTAGTGTTAACTATCGAGGCCACGGCGTATTATGCGCACTGGGTCGGTGGCCATTGCATTGGTACCTATGGTACCCACCTGCAGAGCGAGCCCTTTCGTGCGATTTCTTGCGTGGAATTGAACAATCACGGCCCGCGCTGTGTCTTGAAGATAGGGTGATGATAGCGATGATCCCTGCGCGTAGCGGCTTGGGTACCCAACGGCTTAGACAGCCGCGTAACAGCCAAGAACAAAATTCCGTAGCATGTCTTGGCATCCAGTCACGATCTGGCCAATCGTAGGCCACCCTTTCAATCCCGAGTTCGATGGCCTCCTGTCTTGGCCTCTTGTGGCCAGAGGCTCAATGAACTTACATTGTTCTTCTAGACGATCAGCTATTTACTCACTCCTTTACGTCTATCTGCGGGAGTTACAAGTCGAATAAAAGTACGCCGTTTCCTCACCCAACACTGTGGGCTAAAACCGGAGGCGCTATAACCGGTATTTAAAGCCCTTGGGTTTCCAACCACCTTTCCAATTACTTCAACTAGTCCAAAACCTACCTTCTCTCGGCCACCGTGTAAGGCATCGCGCAATCTTACTGGTTGGTATAAATGCCAATCAAGCGTCCACATAAGAAATCCCGCTACGGCCGCAATCAGTGTCGCATACGACGTGTAAAATGCGACGAAAAGCTCCCTTGCTGCTCAGTATGTGTTCGGTGACAGGAAGTGTGTTATCATTCCCGTGGTCCAGTCATGCCACCAGGCCAGAATATCATAGAACCAACTCCGGCCGGCACAGCTACTAGTGGGAGGCCGAAACGATCCCACGGAGCAAGCAAACCAACTCATGACGAAGTTACGCAGAGGACAAGAAGGCTCTTGGAATTGAAAGTCATGCACCATTGGTGTTCGAGTACGTGCAACAGCTTCACAAAACAGGTCGGCGATGCTCTGCGAGACTATATCATCCAAGAAGCCTTGCGATACGAATATCTTATGGAAGCCGTTCTTGCGCTGACATCGCTACAAATCGCGAGTCGGACTGATGACATCAAAATTGCTAACGAGTACCTGAGTGCAGCACTGCACTATCAGCACCAAGCTGTAAGCGGCCTGCGGAGTTCTCTCGATGCTCTTTCTCGGGAAAATTGTGATGCTGCCTTCATCTCCTCGATGCTCATTATGGTATGCGCCATTGCGTCGCCTTTACTTCAGAGCAAATGCAAGCAGCAAAATCAATCCACTGCGGAGGCGATGCTGAGACTGGTCGACTTTCTGAAGGGCATCAAATCTATTCTCGACGTGAGTCGGGAATGGCTCAGCGAAGGCCCACTCAGCTGCATCCTCGACGCTGAGATCAGGCTTTCCACACCGTCGCTTTGCTTTCCTCGAGAAGAGATGCGTCACTTGATCAGTGCGCAGAGCAGCGGTCAAATGCGCCCCGTCTTTGACCACGCCATCGACACGCTGGAGCAAGCCGCTCTCAGGGGAAGATTGGTAGTTTCCTGGATAGCCGCGGTCAAGCCTACATTTCTGGAGGCCTTGAAGAACGGTAATAGCCTTGCACTAGCTATCTTCATGCAGTGGGGTGTACTTCTGGACCGATCCGACGGCATGTGGTGGGCTGAGTTTTCCGGACGGCGTTTAGTAGACGAGATCGCGGGTGCACTTGACCCAAGGGGGGATGAATGGATGAGCATTACGAAATGGTGCCGAGAAAACGTTGGTTTGCATCAATGAGCAAGTGCTTATTACGGAGCATCTTATCTCTCTATTCTAAGCATCGCTTTCCTAATATAAAACGCAGGATTTTAAGTTCGTTCACAATCGCAACAGCCCTGGAGCCGACACTGGAAAGGATGACGTATCTAGCGCGAATATGCAACCCTTGCTTAAAGGCCCATTTGGCAGCGGAGTAACTATTGAGGGCATGTCTACCATTATATCCCTCTAAGATAGTGGTTGCTTTAGCTCGCTGGAATATTTATTGCTAAATCTTGAGCTAGTTCATCTACATTTCTAAAGCCATGACCGACCCCACCATCGAACAGAAAACATCTAACAAAGAGTATGTGCGAGGGACACTAACTAAATCAAAACGACAGAAATGAAAACAGCAAGGGAATATGACGGCTACAGAGTACTTCAGACTGTCCCACAACGACTAAGCCGATCCTCAACTGCTACCATGTCGAGCAACGAGCGCGTTAGGCTCGTCAGTCATTGTCTCAGTGCCTTCTAGCCTGGTGTTTGGGCTCCAGAAGGTCCTGGTTCCCCATCTCGAAGTCTTCTTGACCCTCCTGCGCAACTACATGTACAGTGATAATGTCACGCACATACCATTTGCAGCAAATGGCTAGCACGATGGCCATAAGTAATGCGTCGAACACATAGATAGGCCATTCGATCGCCAGGAGATATCCGTCTTCTAAATCTTGTCAGCGCTGGAACTTGGTTCGTCGGGGTTGAGATGTCGCATACCACCCATAGCGTATTCGATAACACGGAAAACGTTCCGGATGGTAATCAGAACGCTAACCACATACAACTGATGGAGATATCCCTCCCAGTTGAAGTCGGCCGCGACCAACTTCCCGCCAGAGACCCGTGCAGCCCTAATATGGAAGACGATTCCCACAACAATAAAGAATCCGAATATAGCAATCTGAAGAAACAATCCAACGAGGATGACGGCCTTGCCCAGATTAGAACTCTTCTTTGAGTCTGAACCAGCCAAGATAGCTGCACCGACCGCCTGGATGAGGAAGCAGAGTACGTCGCCACCCACAAAGATCTTCGTGAGCCGGGTTGGACGGATGATAGAGCTTGCGAGCTGGCCCGTTGCTCTAATTATACGGCTCAGGAACATATATACGGAGGCGGCGAACAGAATAGGTGCGAGGAGGATGAGCAACGCTTGTAGGATGTATGGCAGTTTGCTGTCTGGCTTGGAATTACCGTATGCGCGACATCCGTAGCCGATTAATTCAACTGGAGAGTGTCAGAGTGGTCCGAGAAGGAAGCCGTGAGTACTTTACATATGGCACCAATGGCGAAGGGGATACAGAACCATGTTCGCGTCCTGAAAAGCCTGAAGGCGTGATATGCGAACAAAGCCCCAAATATCACCAGGCTGACTACGGCCGCTCCCTTCGAAGGAGTATAGTCGTAGTATTCTTCTTTTCCAGCCATATTGATGGGTGTGGGAAGCGGGTGCACCGGAATTAGTGGTCAGAATGATTGTCTTGGAGATATTTAGGTGATGTATCTGCTTGAACTGTGTATGGTATTGTCTGTCAGGGTGTCGGCCATTTTATGTGTTGAAACTGTATCAAACATGTCAATACTATTCTCGCAAGCGCCAACAAAACAGTGAGAAGTGTCTAAGCCACGCTTAAACGAACGAGATCAGTCGTAAGCACTGATACTCAGAACCCACTTCAGCTATGTAGTGTCTGGGCGAGAAAGGAGAGCATCAACCTTGGAACGTGTCAAGTAAGTTTGTGCCTACGCTCTTTACAATCGTCGCGAGGGACATCGGTGTGCCTAAAGAAGGTATCTAGGGTGGTTTGGGCGCCGAAATAGGTTTAGCGCATTGCCAACAAATCCATAGTCTGCTTGAAATGATGTCTCGGGTCTTGGCGTATACCGGTACCACAAAGATGGCTCGTGCACCTAAACGAGAACGAGAACGAGAACGAAGAGGGAAACGAGAACGAGAACGAAGAGGGAAACGAGCACGTAAGCGGGAACGGGAACGGGAACGAACCCCATTGTCTTGGTGCGTTGGACTCGCATACTCCAGGATAGAGCATAAGGCCTCAAGATTGAACATTGTCAGCCTCTTAGATATTTCTTGTGTAATATAATTAAGTTCAGTCAAGCTGATAGTCAATTAGCGAGTTTCGCACGATTGAAACATTTGAGTCTATATTGTTCAAGACTACAACTGTCAATGCTGCATTGTAGTAGAGGCCGTGGCCATGTTATTTGCTTTAATCCAATTTGGCTTCTGCCGGATCTGTCTAGAAATCGTCGACTCGCAATATATGTGCAACAGCGCTATGTACCCAGTCGTCACCATGTCAGCTGTAGAAGCAAGGATGGAGAAACCATGAGACCAGTGACGGCCCAGCTCTTAGTTCGGGATCTGTGCTATCGCTTACTCAGAGAGAAGGGATATGCCAGCTCAACGACTGAATGCACGCACACCGATCAATTTAAACTCATGGTTCGTAGCTTCGAGTTTGCTTGGCTGTTATACTATAAAGGTCTCGCTGGACGATTTCCTCTCGACAGATACCATAGGTATCAAAACTCCTTTGTCTACTCAGGAATTGACGGCTAATTCTTCGATTTACCTTCCGGACACAATGAAGCCTTCCGCGTTCGTATTTTCGCTCAGCGCTTGTGTGGCAGCATATCCTCACTATGCGACACTCTCCTATTCTTCACGCTCCTCGTTGCAATCGAACGTCTCTTGCAACGGAACCCTGTTTCCTCAGCATTTCATGTGGGAGCCCCTCCGGCAAGGTGATCGTGAGTGTCTCCAGTCGTAAGTGTTAGATATACGCTAAGCGTGTCCCAGTTCGTGCCCCATGTCCTGTGATGAACACACTGGCAAATCACGGCTTCGTTCCTCGAAATGGACGCAACATCACCCGTGAATCATTCGTGAGAGCATGCGGCGAAGCACTGAATATCTTGCCCGCCTTCGCTGACAATATTTTCACTACCGGCGTGCCTTCGAACCCTACACCCAACGCCACGGTAAGTACGAGCATAGCTCGCTACTCAACGAGAGATACTGACATCGTACCCGTTATAGTTTTTTGACCTGGATATGCTCCATCGCACCCACGGCTTCATCGAGCACGACGGTAGCCTATCGCGCAAGGACATCTTTTTTGATCCCTCCAACCGCTTTGACCCCGAGACTTTCGACAATCTCGTGAGCTATTTCGGCGACTCTGAGACAATCAACATCTCTTCCCTTGCCAATGCTCGTGCCAGGCATGCTTACGACATGAGCCTCATCAATCCCGAGTTCGAGATCACCCAGAAATCCATTCCAGTCATCGTTGGTGAAAACGCCATGTTGCTCAGCATTTTCAGCAGCCCTTCTGAACACCCCAACTTGGACAATCCTATCGCCAGACGCGATTGGTTCGAATTCTTTTTCCGTAAGTGCTTGCGGTCTAATCGGCAGCCATCCAGCCGCTTCTCGCGATGAACAATAGCACTGATATTGATTTGGCAGGCAACGAGCAGTTTCCAGTTGTGTTGGGATGGAGGCCCCCTTCAGTTGCTATTGGGCAATATGTGGGCACCGTTGTGGAGGAGATTATTGCCCAAAGCCCTTCGGATGTGCCTTTGACATTTAGCCCCAATGTGGTGTAGTACCCTGATGTGCAATGAGGCTGGGGTATCAGATTGGAAAGGTGAGGCTGATGGTCATGTGACATGCGGCTAGTAATGTGGCTGTGCGCGACCGATATCGCGTCGGGATATCGATCGATAAGGGCATGCATCTATGTATCATACACCACACTTACTTATATACTAATTTATTACTTTCTAGCTTAATTACGAGTTAAGCTTCTTATCTACTTATTACTTAATACTAAGTCTAAATAGAATTTATTATACATATTAGGCGAAACCTTATAGAATAACGTACTTTACCGAAAGCCCTACACTACCAAACGCCCTACGATTTCTTGGCAAGGAAAATCAACGAAAATTAACAGGTTTTTCTTAAATAACTAAGCGAAACCTTAATATTTTTCTATAAAAGTTTAAATATAGATAGAACTATACTATATACACCTACTATAGAAATTATACTAAGATATATTACGTAATTAAAAAGCTATACGTATTTAACTAACTTTTAAGAAAAATCTAGTTTACTTCTAGTAAGTACTATTATATCTCTATAATAATCTATAAAACTTATAGTATATAGTACCTATAAGTTAATAAAGGTTTCTAGAAAACTTCTATAGCGCTAGCTCTTCTAGATATAGCGTAATAAGAGATATGTGACGGTCTGGTTTGGGATTTACCTCAGGTCACATGACCTCGGGTCACGTGATCTTACCACGTGACCTAGCCTAGCGCCTTGGCGCTCGGCACCTCTGTATATAGAGCCTCTCGGAGCAGCCTTCTACTCCTCACCTTTGGATAGCTGAATTTGACCCAACCTACCCTGCTAGCACCCCTTATCCTTACAGCTCGTGGAGACAGTGCTGCCTGCAGCCGACTTACCCAGCTAGGTGTTCCAGGGGCGCTCACAGCAGTGGAGACCGCGGACCCAGCCCTCACATTATCCAAAGGTCAATACCCCTTCGGCCGGAGACGGCGGCACAATATCTGGCCAAACCGAGTAGCCTCGTCAAGGAGCGTTTACCAACGGCCAACACCGAGGATCAGAGCTACGAGAGCCTGGTCGCTCACCCCGAGGATCCATCAACGTACCGATCGATCGCTCACCCCTCAGCGCTGCATAAGACCACTAGCGGATCTAGTTGGCGGCAGAAAGATACCGGCACCGAGCCGAAGAGAGCTATCGAGAGCTCTGTGTACGGGAGGACTTCTACGGAACTCCTACGTGCGGAAACCCCCCCCCTTTTTACGAATTACGAAAAATCGACAATCCTCTGCTCCGCCAGCAGAGCCAACCATCTCTCTGCCCCGCTAGCAGAACCGACAACCCGCTGCTCCGCCAGCAGCTAAATACCTCCCCCCTTCGCTTCTTTCTCGATCGAAAAGCCGAACAAATCCGAACACCATGGGAGAACCCTCGCGAAGCCGATCCAGAGGCAGGACCTTGGCCCCACAATACCCCTTCACCCCGACGGTCCTCGAATCCAGGGCAGCGAACCTGCCCGCAGGATATACCGATCGATATTTCTATCGCGAAAACCCCGTTCGGCAACACGACACGATAACCGACGAGAATCAGGACAACGACTTCGACCAGAAGCTCGCAAGGCTCCGCCAGAGCTCGGTAATACCAGAGCTATCGTCGGCCTCGGGTTCGTTTACACTCCCTGCCTCCGCCAAGGAGCTTCAAGAGCTCTTCCTAGAAACGCCAGCCGAAATCGTCGACGAAATGGTCAGCCAATTGTATATACGACGGGTACATGAACAACAAATCCACATGTATTGCCAGATCGCCGCTAACGCTCTTGCTGAGGGAGATGACGTATACGCGAAAAACCTGGCA